TGATATGAAGTGACATTCTAGAGAATTCTCAATTGACAGAATATTTCTATAAAAACAAGTGTCATCTTCGAAACATCAAGCATACTAGATACAAGTATGTGACTATCTGAATAAAGTCACGTCTCATACAATTATGTGTAAGATAGACATACGTGTCTAATGGTTGGGCATAATCACATAAGAAGATAGATTGATGTTGTGTTTGTAGCTTTTTCTATTTCTTTTCCGTCTTTTTATTATTAATAATACAACAAGAACAATGTATTGTATTATTGGTATATTTAAAAATATACTTTTGTGATAGGGACAATAGTATTTTTTTTTTTCGTTGTTTATTACATTCTCGGAAAACTATATCACATTGTTTTGTTCATCAGACTATGCTAGCGTGATAATGGATAATAAAGAATCGACTTGATCACCGACAATCTTGCCTTTTCTTCGAGCTTTGTTTAAACAAACAGGAAATAAAAGAAACGATGTGGGAAAACAGATGGTCGAGTAGCATTACTTCAGATAACAGAATGAATGTAGACGTCGTCTGACGTCAATCGCTTTCGATACATCATTCTTTTCCTTATTCATATTTTCTCATTTTTTCCAATCATCATTATTTGCTAGCAAACTAGAGAAGTACACAAACACCCATCCTTCACATACTGATAGACACGCACATATACATACTAATGAGCATAGACGTTTGTCTTTAGTCAACTTAGTTCGATTTACACAATATTCTTCAATTCATTAATAGAAAATCGAAAAATTTTAAATACAAATGACAAATTCAGCAATAGAGTCTTCTAATAAAAAAAAAACGATAAATTACATGTAAAAATAATAAAACACATAATGATAATGATTTATTGCATATTTTATTTAAAAAAATAGAATTCTTCAATACAGAAGAACATCACAGGTACGTTTTAATAAGAACAAGATCTTATTAAGTCTGTTTTTTTTAAAATTTTAGTCATAATCCTTTTTATGCTAATTATTATTCAGTTAAACTTATCTTTCTTTGTTTTTGTCATGTTTTTCGAAATACGTAATAACATGATGACTCAATGAAATCGTTAATGCAGATTTTGTATTATCATTTTTACAATCAACTATGTTTCCGATTCTGCTTTCAGACAAGCATAAGCAATTAGCTTTCTTTAGTTCATTTTTTTTTGTATTCTTATTTCAATCATAACATATTCAAAAACTCGATAGTATTTCATTATTCATATTCATCAAATGCTAACATCATTTAATTGAAGAAGATTACTACGCATATATTAATACTCTTGACTACTTCTGTTTTTTTTTTACTATTTGGACTTACTAGATGCTTTTAAAGACTTGAAGTACTTACAATTTACTTCTAGTACGACACTATTGACAAATTTGCTTTTCTTTTGTAAAAACAATGTTGATTTACTTGTTTTATCACAATTTCCTTCGAAGAGTAGAAATTTACTGTTGATGGAATTGTGCTTATATTGAGTAATTTTACTATAAATAATTTATAGCAGAGATAAAACAGCAATAAAACATAGGCAGATTGTTAAATAAGTCATATTAAAATACTTATCTAGTTGCGAAAAGAAAAACATTATTCTATAGAGATTCTAAAAGTGGAAAATAGAGATAATACATAAATTACAGACATATAATATCAATTAAATGTTTCATTTTTATAGTGGATAACCAGAAAAAGTTAAGTGATTTTTTTCTTGTCGTTTAAAGATTAATCTTACTCACTAATGAATCATGATAGGTAGATTTTCGATATGATAATGATAAATATTAAGAATCGATGGTGTCAAAAATAAAGAAAAACATCATCAATTTTAACTTTTTGCCAATGGTAAATAGAAACGGTATGTATCTAGTTAATTACAATAAATCAATCTTTTCTATATATTCGAAATAATCTGAAAGACAAATAGAAAATATATCGTTTTATTAGTAAGTAGACTTTGATGATATTTTGAGAGAGAAATTGAATTCTATTTTGCTGCATCTTTCATCTTGATTTCTTTTCTTTTTCTTTTTTATGAAATAGAAAATCGTGTAATAGTTCGTTATATTATATTTGATATTTCAATTATTGAAGTTACTACTTATGATCTACACATTTTCAAGTGTTCTTTGTCAGGCTTTTTTTAGAAACTAACTACTAGAAAAACTTTGAGAAAGGCAAAAGGAAAAAAAGCCTACGAAAAGCAGCTCAATCTTCCTAAGCATTAATGCGCAATCTCAATTTATGTCTAGAGTGTGTTCCTTTTTTCTTAGTTTCCGTTCAGCAATCATTTATTTTTTTTTTCATTAGACTTTTTTCCACTTTAACACATTGCATGCATCACAGGATTAATGTCTTTGAAGTTACTTTCACAAGATAAATTTCTCTTTTTAGATAGACTAATAGTCAACATCCGTCCCCTATTGTGATCATTCTTTCGATTGTCCTAGTTGGTAGTTAAACAATATATATTATAACAAACATTCAACATCTTCGTATTATAAATGTGACAGTCTCTATGAAAGATGAAGATTTATATAAAATTATGATGATAAACTAACAAAAATACATTATCAAATATATTATTATAAATTTATGAATGATTTCCATTAACATAAGTTCGACTACAACTGGAAATACATCTCTTGATAAATTGACATGGTCTTTTAGAACTATTAGTATACTTATTATATGTAGTCTAATTACAATATTTACTATATTAGGTTTGTTCTTAAATATTTTTTTTTATCATGAATCTAGTTCAAAAGTAATCATTAGGCATGTACCGAACTTTTCTTTGCGTTACTCTCGAACACTTTATATCAGTAGCTTCAGTTATGAAATAAATGGCTGAATCATGCAATCTAGACTATTAAAAGATGGAGAACATGCTACTCTATCAAATGAGACGTATCCAAGCTCTGTGCAATAATTTTTTTGATTTTTATGCAAACTTTACAAACCGAGTTTAGACTCAGCTGAGACATTTTTTTATAATGTCGCATAAGAATTTAAATAATTGGAACACAAAGCTCGCCGATATCTCATTTTGTAGGCCAACATTTTGTCTATATTTTGATATATTAGACCGGATGATTCAGCCTTTGATTTCACAACTCAAGCTTTTAATGTAAATCGGTTTGATAGTAACGAAAAAAAGTTCGGTACATTCCTAATTATCATGAATTTCTATTTATAGGCAATGGTTTAGTTCTGATTTCAATTAAATTTCGTCTTCGTGCTCGATCATATTCTGATTAT